CCCAACCTTCCTTCCGAGGAGTGGCTGGTGGGTTTGAACCGCCAGCCGTCTGGTTAGCAGGCAAGTGTCTTAGCCGCTATGCTACCAGAGCTCCCAGTTAGTGTGCTATGCAGGTATTATTTGATATGCAGACTTTTGGGAGTGACTTTTAGAAAAGGAGAAGGGGTGGTGGAAATGACCTTCCTTTGCCATTATTCTGATTCAAAAAATAAAGCAGTTCATCTGAATTATTCAACTAGTGAAAAAATAAGCATCAAACCAGTTCTGGATATTTCACTTTTTATTGCTTGATTTTAAAAAATAAAAAATGTTCAAACCCATAAGTAGTTAAGAAAATGTTCCAAGTTAATGCTTTTTGAACTAGCTGTCAAAAAAAGGCTGCCTAATTACAGGAGACCAGCCTTTGCAAAAGACCACTGTTCTGTCTTAATTAACATGAACTAAACAGTCCTCAAACAACAGGGCACACTCCCATTAGGATAAATTACTCAGGCCAAGTCAACTCGCCAAGAATTCCCTAGAGGAAAATCTGTCACTGCCTTGCCCACCTGCACTACCTCCTTTTCTCAAAGGACTCTGCTACAGCTCAGTGCCTCCCTGTTGATTGAGGGGCATCTGGTCCATAGTGAATTTGCTCTATATTGAGATTTCCTGAGCAGGATTCACAGAGTAGCATAGTGGCTGGTTTAGGGAATGGGACAGGCCCAGTTTGAGTTCTCAATTCCCCCAGCTGTAAAGGGGCAAATGCAGTGGGTACCATATTATATGTTTGATGTGAGGAAATCAGTAGTGAATACATATAAAGGCCTTGACTCAATAGTAGCAAATAGTAAATGCTCAATATATGTTGGCTATTATTATCCATGAGCCTAGCCTGCTTTCTTTGCATAACGGAAAACATCATTTCCCACAAGCTTGCATTCACCTTATGATACCTTGCATAGATAATTTCTCTTTTCAGTAGGTGTCTCTATTTTGTTTTTTTTTAACACTCTCTACACTAACATGGGGAGCTCTGGTGGCTTGGCAGTGAGTTTGTTTTTTGGTTGTTTTTATACTAACATGGAGGAGTCCTGGTGGCACAATGATTAAAGCATTTGGCTGCCTACTAAAAAGTCAGCAGTTCGAACCCATCAGCTATTGCTCAAGAGAAAGATGCGGCAAGCTCCTTTCCATAAAGATTTACACCCTTTGTAAACCTTTTGGGGCAATTCTACTTCCCAACTCAATGGCAATGGGTTTGTTTGTTGGTTTGGTATACTAGCATGAACCAGGTAATTAGAAAAATTAGTTTTAAAAAAAATCCACCTGTCTTGTCATCAGGAATGAAATCAGGTTTAAAACCAGGACTATAAATATCTTTATTTTGTAATCTATCGCAGTTCTTCAGTCTTTGTTAGTAATTGTTCCTTCCCAATAGGAAAGGTCACAGATGGTGGAGTGAATAACTTCCATGGCCTCAAAGTCTGGTGCTACTGAATTGAAATTACTAACCAACTGTTGTCAGGTGGGGAGGGGTAAGAACCAAGGGTTGTTTGTTTGTTTGTTTAAAAAAAGGATGAGAGATTTATGCCTGAATGATTTTGTTATAAGACTAATAAAGCTCTAGCTTCAATGATTTTTTAAATAATTTGTCCTATGAAGAAATATTAACAGGTGATGGCCAAAGATATAGTACAATTTCAGGCCCAAGGCAAACAGTAGAGGAAAGGACTCCTCCCACCGCCCATCAGGAAATCAAAAGACTTCGTACAGTTATTTTCATTTTCAGGGTTTCTGTGGAGTTTCCCAAACTTTCGAAAACTGTTAGCAACCAGCTTTCACTGTTTCTAGGTGAATTCACCTCACCAAACTCAATTCTTCTTAAAAGTTGGGAAAACCTTTTCTGCAAAAGTTGTTAAACCACAGTCAATAAATATGGTAAATTCAGCAAATCGGTCAGTTCTACTTCTCTCACGTCAGTATTACTACCATTTGCGCATGACACACCATGACAAGAAATATTGAGAATCTTCACATTGCCCCCAAACTTTCTGAAGCAGAACTAGCGTAGAACTCAGGAAACTTCACATGAGCGTAGAGAGCTTCTTGATCTGAGGTTTTTCCACAGACACAGAGCAGGCATCATCATCTTTGTGTGAGCGTCGAACATGACTGTCATGAGCAGCATGGGATGCAAAAGATTTGCCACAGTACTTGCACTTGAAGGGCTTCTCCCCAGAGTGCTGCCTAATATGTGTGCGGAGGATGCTGGAGGCAGTGAACTTCTAGCAGAGAACAGAAAGCAGAAGAAAAATGAAAATTCTGTGAGCCAGATAACCAATATAACAAAGCTAGCAGCACTGTTAATGATAACTTGTGTCACCTTTAAGTTATCTAAATGATAAATGTTGAATTTTAAGGCTATAGTGCAATCCTGATCAACAGAAGCTTAAAGAGAAAGGACTTGATGAGTGACTTGCATTCTGGCTGGTTTTGAGTAGCAGTAGATGTTAGGAGCTCTGGTAGCGTAGTGCCTAAGGCACTTGACTGCTAACCAGAAGGATGGTGGTTCAAACCCACCAGCCATTCCTCGGAAGGAAGGTTGGGCAATCTACTTCCATAGTGATACTGCCTCGGCAACCCAAGGTGGACTCACTATGAGTCGGATCCGACTCGACAGCACGTAACAACAACAAGAAGATGTTAGAGAGGAATTCCTGGGTAGCATAGATGGTTATGTGCTGAAAGGCTGGTGGTTCAATCACAACCAGAGGTGCCCCAGAAGCCAGGTCTGGCAATCTGCTTCTAAAAGTTCAGTCTTAAAAGCACTATGGAGCAGTTCTATTCTACACACATACGTCACCACAAGTTGCAATGAACTTGATGACAACCATCAACAATAAGAAAATATTAGAGCAGAGGCTCTTCAGTGTAACCAAAATCACCAAGGGATCTAGTTAAAAAAAATGCAGATTCTTAACTCTACCTTACAGAGTCTGACTCAGGAAGTCTGACATGAGCCTCAGGAGCCCAAGTACCTGGAGCTTCTGATACAAGTAGTCCAACAACTACTCTTCAAGACAAATTGCATTACAGGAGAAACTAATATTGGCCAAAGTAATAGTCTTTGTATAAATCAGTACCTTATTTGCTTTTCCTTATTTAAACTTTTTATTTTGAGGTAAGGAGCTATGGTGGTGTACTGGTTAAGACATTTGGCTGCTAACCAAAAGGTCGGTGGTTTGAACCCACCAGCTGCTTCATGGAGGAAGGATGGGCAGTCTGCTTTGGTAAAGATTTACAGCCTTGGAAACCCAACTGGGGTTGTTAGGAGTCAGAACTGACTTGATGGCAGTGAGTTTGGTTTGATTATTTTGAGGTAATTATATATTTACGTGCAATGTAATAAATGATAAATTCCCTGTACTGTTTGCCCAGTTTCTTCTAGTGGTAATATCTTAAACTATAGTCCAAATAGAAAAAAGCTGTTGGCGAGGTTATGGAGAAACTTGGAACTCTCATCCATTGCTTACAGAAATGTAAAATGTATAGCCAGTGCGGAAAACAGTTTGGCAGTTCCTCAAAAACTTGAACACAGGACTAACATGACCCAGCAATCCCAATCCTAGATATATGCCCAGAAGAAGTGAAGGCAGGAATCCAAATGGATACCTGTATACTCATTTTTCACAACCACCAAGAGGTAGAAATTACCCAAGTATAGTACATACACATAATGGAATACTACTCAGCTGTAAAGATAAAGGAAATCCTGATGTATGCCACAGCATGGATGAACCTTGATGATATCAGGCTGAGCAAAATAAGTCAGTTGTAAAAGGACAAATGCTGAAATAAGCAAAATATATATTATACCAAAGATTATTAGTGGTTATCAGGGATGGGAGGAAGAGAAAAGGGTGTTTTTGCTTAGAGAACATTGAGTTTATGTTAATGGTGGTAGAATGATTTGGAAAAAGATAGTGAAAATGGTTGCACAATTTGAAGAACATAGTGTCACTGAATTGTACATGTAGAAATTGTTGAGATGGTGTATGTTTTATTATGTATAGTTTAAGCACATTTTTAAAAAATCTCTATAAGTTCAATATCACAAGATATTGACATTGATAATCAATACACAGAACATTTTCATCAAAGGAATCCCTCATGTTGCCCTTTTTTAGCCATAGCCACATCACTGCTGCTCCTACTTCCTCCATGAACCCTGGCAACCTCAAACCTGCTCTCTTAACTATGTACTATGATCAACAAGAGAATGTTATATAAAATGAATCAAGTAATATGTCACTTTTTGGGGTTAGCTGTCTTCACTTAGCATAATTCTCTGGAGATTCGTGTAGCCTACTGAATGTATCAATAGTTCCTTTTTATTGCTAAGTAGTATTTCATGATATGGATCTACCAATCTGTTTAACCCATCGAAAGACATCTGGATTACCTGAGTTTTGAAGTGTTATGAATAAAGCTGCTATAAACATTTGTGTATAGATTTTTGTGTGAACATACAAGTCTTCATTTTTCTGGGATAAATGCCCAGGATTGAAATTGGATCATATGGTGGTCACATGTTTAGTTTTTAAAGAAATCCCATACTGTTTTCCAAGTGGCTGTATAATTTTACATTCACAAATACTTTGTTGTTTTTATGTATCTTTTCTTGGCCACTTCTCTTTCCATTATTCATAACCTTTTCCTGATTAACTTCAACACTATGCTCTAATTTTTGTCACCTTCAGGTAGTATTATTAGAGACACAGTCGATTCTCACTATTTGCATGAGTTGTGTTCGATAATATCTCTGAATACTGTATTAGCAAATACTGAAGTATTAGCAAATACTGAAGCATTAGCAAATACTGAAGCATTAGCAAATACTGAAGTATTAGCCAATACTGAAGTATTAGCCAATAATCAATGAGACATACAAGATTGGGTTCCTGTAAGCCTCTGGTCACAACATTTTTGTCAATCAATCAATATAAAACCTTGTTTTTTGTGCATTTCTTCTTAAAAACACCTTATTTAATATATGTTGTTGATCGAATAAGGTGTTCTGGGGTGTATGGGTTAAGATACTTGGCTGCTAACCAAAAGGTCAGTGGTTCAAACCCACAAGCTGCTCTGCAGAAGAAAGATGGGGAGGTCTGCTTCTGTAAAGATTTACAGCTTTGGAAACCTTATGGAGGTCACTGGGACTCAGAATTGACTTAATGGCAGTGAGTTTTGTTCATTCACTAACATTGAACATAGGGCCCAAGCACTGCACCTCATGCCTAAATGAAGCTGATCTTATACATATTTTCTCTGTTAATCACAGTACAGCCTTCTTGTGCTTAGGAACACTAGACTATACTTCAGCACTACATTTGGGAGCCATTTGAAACAGTGAAATCACCAATAAAGGCACAAAACTGCACAAAAAAAAAAAAGACACTAAATAGACCTCGAAAAAGACACTCATTTTCATTATGATAGCTGAAACAATATGGCAGAGTGTCACCTTGCCTTGAGAACATGCCAGTCAGGAGACCCAAAATTTTTGCCTCTGTACATTGCTGGGGAAGCATAATTTTAAAGACTCTCCTGACAACTCAAACTCTCCACAAAATTAGAAGAGGAAAAAACAGTTTTATTATTGAATAAGCATTAAACCAAAATGCAATGTGTGTTCCTGGTAATCTGCTAAAGAGACTGCCAAAACAGAAAGAGATTTTATTCTTTTACACAGACAAGCTAATGCAACCCCTTTCATACATGTTCTCAAGATAAATGATAACTAGTCCTCATGTTAGGAGCTCTGGTGGCATAGTGCCTAAGGCATCTGACTGCTAACCAAAAGGCTGGCAGTTCAAACCCACCAGCCACTCCTCAGAAGGAAGACAGGGCAATCTACTTCCATAGAGAGCCCACCTCGGAAACTCAAGGAAGGGTCACTATAAATTGGATCCGACTCGATAGCAGCGAGTTTGGTTTGAATTTTGATTTTATGACTGGAGGTAGATTTACTTCTTGGATCCAAATGCCCGCTGAAATTAGGCTCCAGCAAACTGGGAGAGAGGTGCTATCTTCCTTGATTAATTACTTATCAAAGAGATGGCTTCCAAGTTCTTGAGAAACGAATAATGCCTGGGGTATAAACTTGGGAAGTGGCTTATTTATTAGCCTTTAAAAAGATCTACATACATCACAAAGAGGCAAATAAAGAACTAAGTTTTCTAAAGCAAATCCTCTTAAGAAGAGGGTAAGAAGTCCTCTTCCCCATTTTTCATTGGGGAGAATTAAGTTTCTCTTTTTCTTTTACTTCTAATTTGTGTTTGTCTTACATGAATGGCTGAGAAAGCACCACATACTGACTTGGGGGGTTACAAACAACCTGTAGCAAGAAGGTGAATTCACAAATACAAACCAACTACTAATGAGGACCACATACAGAAGAAAATGACAGATTTTCTGGCCCACTGAATGATAGTAAAATACTAGCTTAAACTAGTGATTCCCAATTTGGGGATTAAAAAAAGAAGCATGACAACGGGCATCTGGGAGTATCACCCTGCCTCAATAAGACCTTTCAGGATTGGCACATTCTTGCTTCAGTAAGGTACACAAGCTGTCTTTGTGTAGAATATCCCAGCATGCTCAATCTTATTAATCTACTTATGGTCTAATTATATCCCCCACCTCCAGTTTTCTGTGATTACTTTCATCCCATTGGTGCACTCTTTCTTTGGATTTAGTTTCCCTAACCCTGTTAGGCCTAAGGAGCTCTGCTGGCACAATGCCTAAGGTATTTGACTGCTAACCAGGTCAGCAGTTCAAATCCAGCAGCTTCTCCATGGAAGGAAGATAGGGCAATCTACTTCCATAAAGATTTACAGCCTTGGAAACCCAATGGGGGTTGCTATGCATTGGAATTGACTCAATGGCACTGTGGGTTTGTTTTTTCCCCCTCCTCTTCAGTAGATTCACTCTTCTATTCTTCTTTGGGAGTTTCAGACATATCCTTGACTAAGACTGCCTATATTCCTTTTATAGATTTAAGAAAAATTTAAATATGATAGAAACGTAAGTCTATACCAGTACTATCCAATAAGACTTCCTGGGATGATGGTACTGTTCTGTATTTGTTCAATTTAGTGGTCTCTGGTTACTGAGCACTTAAAATGTGGCTCGAGCAACTTAGGATCTAAATATTATTTCAATTATTATTGATTTAAATGATGCATATGGCTAATGGCTACCAATGGATAGCACCTATGTAGTTCATCAAAAAAGGACATCAAGTGTTTTGGTATATATTTCTAAGATCACATGATTAAACTATTGTAACTCTAACCATCTATTCCCCTTTTCAGGTCACATGAGTCGGTCCGGCTCAACGGCACGTAACAACAACATTCTGTATTAATGCAGTTACATGCCATTTCTAGTGTCCCTCTAGAAAGTTACATCAGCAGCAATCTCTCAATTTTAAATCTCCAAAGAATAAAGTAATAACAATAGTAGCTAACATTTCAATAGCCCTTACCATGAACCAGACACTGTTCCAAGTGACTTATACATTAACTCATGTAATCCAACAATTTGGTAGGGTAAAGACTACTTCCAAAAAAATAACCAAACTCACTGCTGTTGAGTCGGTTCTGACTCATAGTAATCCCTCCTCCTTGGGTTTCCAAGGCTATATCTCTACGGAAGTAGACTGCCCAATCTTCCTTTTGAGGAGTGGCTGGTGAGTTTGAACCATCAGCCTTCTGATTAGCAGTCAAATGCCTTAGGCACTTGGCTCCTCAAAGCCACCAGAGCTCTTCCAAAACTACTTACTTCCCCCATTTTACCAATCAGGAAACTACATACAGAAGCTACTTGCTCAAGGTTACACAGCTAGATTTAAGTGTCAGAGACAGAATTTGAACTTTGGCAGAGTCCATGTACTACACAGTATTGCCTGTGATTATCAGGTCCCTGTAAATGTGAAATGTGTTTCATTACAGATGCCCTAAGTGCCAACTTGGCAATAAAACATCACATCTGATCATCTTCAGCAAGCTTGAGCATATTTGGGGAGTAGGGGGAATGGGGTTCGGAGATAATAATGGAATAACCTTTACCAAGAACTCCTTTAAGCCAAGTATTATGCTTTCAAGTTCTTATCCATGAATATCCAAGCAGAGATCAATAAAGAAAGATGCCTTGGAAGGAGATTTCCATTTACCTTTGTACAATACACACACTGGTACGGTCTGTCTCCAGAGTGGATTCTCATGTGTTTGTTGAGGCTGGAAGACTGAGAGAAACACTTCCCACATGTAGAACACTAAGGTAAAAAAGAAAAACATAATTGAAACCATATCCTCCCTGAACAAGTTAATTCATTTCAACATTTTGTCTGGGTGTGGAACTACTGTGTGTATGTACTGTAGTCAGGGGACCACCCTTCCTCAAGCCTAAGTGGAAGAATCAGGTAGCATGGGTTCTGGTCCAGATTCCTGTCTCTAATACTTTTAGGTTTCAGTTGCTTCAATGTGAAAAGTGAGAATTGAACAGGATCATGGTATAAAATGTAAGAGGTTTGAATTAGTCCTGATTTGTCAAGTAGCTGTATAACCATCAAAAAAAACCCACTAAACTCATTGCCATTGAGTCTGTTCCATCTCACAGTGACCCTATCTATATCTGACTATATCAAGTCAGTTAAACTTGGACTGTTTCCCGATTTTCCTCATGGGCAACATACTTCTCTGCCTTCTTCAGAAATGATTAACTTGTAAGCACTATACAATTAATTAATTCAACAAGTATTTATTGGAGTACGTACTATGTGCCCAACACGCTGCCAGAGATAAGGAGCTAATAATCTATGAGGGTGGTGATAAATGTCAACCAAGATGACAATACAGACTGGCAGATAATCAAATACAATGTCAAACCTACATAAAAAAGCAAAATACTTTTGAGGTCTAGTGGAAGCATGTAGTACAGCCATATTCTGTAAGCAGTTCATGTCATTTATCTTTACGCTTGACGCTGGTGACTCCCATCAAATCTCAAGAAAACTACAGGAGAGGCAAAACCAGAGAGGTTGCCAGGGACAAAACAGGAAGTCTTTGGTCTCGATGCCACTTTTAAAACCATCATATCTACTAAAAAGAAAGAATTATTTTCCTCTTCGAGGGGCGGTGGGGCACATGCTTCTGTGCTCCGTTTCCCACATGTGCTTATGTGCACAGAAGGGACAGCAGGTATTTTTAGATGCTGAGATTTTGGGTGTATTTTAAAGCCTTCCTTAATTTTTCTGAAGTGTTTGAAGTTTTAATAATGAGGATGTATTATCTTTATTTAAAAAAAAAAAAAATAGATATTTTAGTTAAAATAAAGTTGGGAAATGCCAAGAAAGCATAGCATAAAAATTACTAGTTAAGAACAGAGATGTAAGATCCTACCTAACATCTGGCCAAAAGGAGTTTCAGGAGAGAACAAAAATCTGGAGGGCAGGTAATAACCAAAGAACAAGAAAATTAGCTTACAACTTGCACTTTCAGATCAAAGGAGCTCACTGGGTATAAAACAGGCAGGGCAAAAAAAAGGGAAAGGTACAAAAAGCATGAGGAACAAAAGACAAAAGAGACATATTAGACATTATTAAAATTAAATCTTTTGTGCATCAAAGGACTTTAAAAAGAAAGTGAAGGGCCAATCTATAGAATTTGAGAAAATATTGATAACCGTGCCTCTGGGAAGAGTTTATATCTAGGATAAAAAACTCCTACACTCAACAAAAAAGACAATTCAACTATAAAATGGGTAAAAGACTTCTATAGACATTTCTCCAAAGACAGAGTTATCATGTGACCTAGCAATTTCACTCCTAGATATAAACCCTAAAAGAACTGAAAGCAAGTATTCAAACAGATATTGCACACCAATGTTCACTGGCGCATTATATACAACAGCTATACAGCGGAAATGTCCATCAACAGATGGATGATAAACAAATATGGCATATAGAAACAATGGAATACTATTCAGCCATACAGAGAAAGGAAGTGCTGATACATGTGATGATATGCATGAACCTTAAACTTTATGATGAGTGAAAAAAATGAGACACAAAAGGACAAATAATTGTACGATTCTACTTATATTAAGTTTTCTAGAAGAGGCAAATGCAGAGAGAGTAAAGTTTATTAGTGGTTTCCAGGGGGTAGGGAAAGGGAGGAAATGGGGAGTTATTATTTAAGGGATACTGAGTTGTCTGGTGGCATAGTGCCTAAAGAATTAGACTGCTAACCAGAAGGCTGGAGGTCCAAACCCACCAGCCACTCCTCGGAAGGAAGACTAAGCAATCTACTTCCATAGAGATACTGCCTCGGAAACCCAAGGAGGGGTTGTTATTAGTTGGAATCAACTCTATGGCAAAGAGTTGTCTGGGGTGATGAAAACTTTTGGAAATAGTGGTTATGGGTGCACGATATGGTGTATGGAATTATATCATTGAATTGCACATTTACAAATGGTTAAAATGACAACAGAAAGATAGCCAACTTGAAAAATTCTGATAAAATTCCCGAACTCTAAAGTTAAAGAACAATTTCTACAATGAGGAAAATTGGTTATTTACAAAAATACAAGAACCAAACAGGTATCAAATGATAAAAGAAAATGGGATAAGCCCTTGAAAGTTCGAAGAGAAAAATTATTTCAATCCAAGATTTCATATGGGCCAAACTATCAAAGTTATGTGAATAAAATTTCCTTGAAAAGAAGTCATAAAATTTCACTATGCATACTTAAAAACAATTCCTTGAAGATATGCTCCTAAAATAAGCAAACAAAAAAATACAAGAAAGAGTGGGACAGAAAAATTATTAGAATTATTTTGGGAAAGTGATAAAAAATACCCAAACATGACAGTTCACCAGCCTAGAAAACATGCTCAAATCAGAATAAGCTCCAAGAAGAATGCGTCCAACAAAAATGTAAGTATCATTATACAGCTTACATAATTAAGAAAGGAAATTTACCTTCTGATGAGGAGAAAAGGCAATTAGAAATCCTAGAAAAATAAAAAAGCTTACAAGGAGTGAAAGTTGTTATAAAAGTCTGGTATGATTTTGAGCAATTGATGGAACATAAGAAACAATGTCCATTGGTTAGGTATTCCGGGAGCTTGGAGATGAATGACTTTCTGAACTCATGAATGAACTTCTGTGTTCATTATTATTATTGACTACATTTTTTTCCTGATATACTTATTTTGTGTTCTTCCTGAAACTTATGTCACTTTTCTGGGACACTCTGAAGACCAAACTAAACCCAGCGCCCTCCAGTCAATTATGACTCATAGTGACCCCAATTGCATTTCCAAGGCTGTAAATCTGCAGCAGCAGAGTGCTTCATCCTTTCTCCGAAGAGCAGCTGGTGGGTTCAAAGCACCAATCTTCTGGTTGCAGCCAAATGCCTTAACCACTATACCACCAGAGCTCCTTCTGGGACACTAGTCATCATCAATTTTTGCTTCATGAGTAACCTGAAATGGTGGTATATTTAGGTTTTAAATGTTGGAAGGAAAGTGGTTAATACAGGCCTTTTTATGTGTTGGTTATATACTCAGTACCTTCTGATCAAGTCATTCAATTTTTTTTTTTTTTTTTTTTTAAGTCATGTAGTAGGATTTTTCTACTGATCCCATTGCTGTCAAATAGATTCCAATTCACAGCAACTTACAGCAGAGTAGAATTGCCCCATAGGGTTTCCAAGGCTATAATCTTTACAGAAGCAGATTGCCACATCTTTCTTCTGCAGAGTGGCTTCTGCTTTGAATTGCCAACTTTTCAATTAGTAGCTGAGAGATAACCACTAAGCCACTAAAGCTTCTCTTTCTACTGACAGATCTTACTAAAAATAATTAAACTGCTCTTCTGCACATCTTGTTTCACTCAAGCTGCTTTCCTTCTATTCTCAAGTTAAATGTTTTATTTGAAAAGTAACTATTAGGTTTCTGTAGAAAGTAAATATATTTTGTCATTTTATGAAGCTAAGTACTCAAACTAAAATATATCACATATTTAAAAAGAGAGAATAAAAAATGTTAAGCAGTTAAAATATAGAAAAAAAACTCTATCTTCTAAACATAGTGAGTGTGAACAACTGTAGACGTTCAATGGAAATGTTCTGTGAGCAACTAGAAATACACCTTTTGAGCTCACAAAAGAATTCCTGACTAGAGATTTGAAACCCAATGTTAAGTAGTTTTTCGTTCATGACAAAGGATGAGATTTGGAAAGAGAAGTAAAGAAGAAAAACCCTTGAGAACACCAAGTACAACAGGGCTTGCCATTTTCTATTGCCAGTTTAAAATCCTTGTTCCTCCACTCTACCATTCAAACAACTCCTAGTTGAAAGCCTTAAGCATCTCATCATCTCACTATTACCAGCTTTTACCTCATCTTCATCATTCTTGTCACCTATTGACCTGTTAGTCTATAGACTCCCATTTCAAATACGGCAGTACTCAGCTACAGACTTTCTCCTCTAACCCCTAACCCAAGTCCCACCATAATCCTCAGTGTTTAGGCAGATGACCCAACCAATAACCTAACAGAAATTTCTTTACCTAACTCTGATAAACTTTTTCCTGCACTCTACTTCAAACAAAACACAAAGAAAGAAAACAAATCCTGCAGCTTCTACTTTCTAACACACTTTGACTTGCAATAATTAGGACAAAGAGATAGGATCCTAAACCCTGTGTCCCATCAATTCTAAGATCTATCATCAATTTAGGAGCTCTGGTAGCATAGTGGCTAAGACACTTGCCTGCTAACCAGACAGCTGGCGGTTCAAACCCACCAGCCACTCCTCGGAAGGAAGGTTGGGCAACCCTACTTCCGTAGTGATACTGCCTCGGAAACCCAAGGAGGGGTCGCTATGAGTCGGGGCCGACTCAACGGCACATAACAACAACAACAACAACATCATCAATTTATACGTTAATTAAAATATTACCAGTTCTTATCATGGCATGCCACCAATGGTAGAATACATCCTAATTTCAGAAATATTAAAATGTGGGGAAAAAAAAGGTATATCCTAAAATTGATGAAATACTACTTGTAAATTATTACAAAAGTAGGTAATAATATATACACTGGCCAACCACATAACTTGACAAATCACAGGATAAATACAGGTTGCCAATAAAATATATACTTTTTAATTTATTTTTACCTCTTTAATAATAATGAAAATGCAAATTAAAGCAAAACACTGTTCTTAATGTATCAAAATAGCAACATAAAAGGACAATATTGATTATTGGTATGAGAGTTGATACTACCTACTACACTGCAAATCCAGCTGGTTGGACTAAAAATTAGCACCATTCTCTGGGAGGCAGTTTAGTAGCTTATATCAAGAGCCTTAAAACTGTACTTTTGTCATAGGGTATCAGATGCTTTATTTTCTGCCTTTTTCCTCCCTCAAAAAAAAAAAATCTTTTATGAAGCATAATTATTTTATCTTATTAAAAAATACTAGTTGAAAATAAAAATTAAATATTAAGTGTATTAAGTAAGACCTCTTTAAAGAGTTCAAATAAGGCAAAGATGTCACCTGGAGGGCTAGGGTGAACCTGACCTAAGTCATAGTATTTTTAATCACTTCACATGCATGCAAAAGCTGGACAACGAAGCGGAAGGACCAAAGAATTGATGCCTTTGAATTATGGTGTTGGCAAAGAATACTGAGTATGCCATAGACTGCCAGGAAGAATGAACAAATCTATCTTGGAAGTACAACCAGAATGCTCCTTAGAATTAGAAGCGAGGATGGCCGACTTCATTCTCACGTGCTTTGGACATGCTATCAGGAGGGACCAATTGCTAAAGAAAGACATCATGCTTAGTAAAGTAGAAGGTCAGTGAAAAAGGGGAAGACCCTCAACAGGATGGATTGACACAGTGGCTGCAACAATGGGCAAAAAGAAACACAGCAAAGATTGTGAGGATGGTGTAGGACCAGGCAGTGTTTTGTTCTGTTGCACACAGAGTCGCTGTGAGTTGGAATCAACTCAATGGCACCTAACAAGAGCACATCAAGTAAAAACCGAAAGATCACTCTTAAAATAAAAATCACTCTTGACTTCATTCTCACTCCCAATATTACAGTTAGCAGTTTAATGCATTTCTTCCCAATTGTTCTTCCATTTATACATAAGCATTATTTATACATAGCATGTGTAATCAAATGTTTTAAATGGGCTCTTCTATAATATTCTATAATTTGTTTTCACTTGCCATACCACCATTATTGCTCTCCTCCCTTAAAAATCTTGGTGTGCCAGAGCCTGACCTTCTTTGGACCATGACTGTGCTTCATCCTCACGCACACCTACCCCCATGCCTGCAAGGATGATGGTACAACCTGCAGTTACCCAAAACCAGATTCCAGGCTTTTTCCTGCCTGGAACATCCCAGCACTTTTCTCTCCACAACCAGCCCTGCCTCTGATCTAAGACAGTTACCCCAATTTTCCTTCAAGACTCACTTCAAGACCACCTTTGCTATGATGCCTTTTAAAACCCAAATGTCCAGGTAGAAGAGTGGACACTCCTCCCTCTGTGTTCCCCACTCCATCCTCTACATCCGTCCTAACACTCTGTACCTGTCCCTGCATCTGTTTGTTCACGTTTGTCTCTTCCACAGCAGTCACCTTCTTTAGAGATCCTGACTCATCAGGCATTGTATCCCAGCAGCTAGCACCCAGTTGGCCCATAGTATTTGTTCACTGGTTTGGAGAAAGAGTGTGTGAGAATGGGAAATACGGCACTCCAGGGACATTCACCTTCCTGAATCTTACCTTGTGAGGCCGGTGCTTCTCATGTACATGAAGGATGTGGATGCGGAGCCGATCCCGCTTCTCAAAGGACCGCTTACAGAGAGAACAGGGAAATTTCCTATCACCCTTGTCCACGCAGGAGGTGTACTTGAGGTGCTTATCTCTGTAATATTTGTAGGTAAATACTTTCCCACATCTTTCACATTTGTAACCTTCTGCAGACTCTGTCAAACACAGGGGTAGAAGTGGCTTTTTTAACTACCATCTCTCAGTCTTACTTAAAATCTTTCATTACTTTAAACATATACCAAAGTACAATTAATAGTGGGATAAATCCTCACATACTCATTCCTGAACTTCCATAATTCTCAACTCACAGCTAATTTTGTTTCATTTATTACCCCTACCACTTCCTCTGTAATGCACTATTTTGATACTAATTTATTATTTGGTGGGTAACTACCTCAGACTGTTATCTTTACAACTTTTAAATGGATAGTGGTGAT